ACAGCGAAATGTCCCTTCAATATCTGGCCCAATCTACGGTTTGAAGACTGTTCGTTGAATGTACATGAATGGATAGATTTTGTGAATTCATTTGCCTTCACGTCTGTGGTAAAGGTTTTTTGGCCTTTTTGGATAATAGATATTTTTTCTATCTTTCACTATTAGATAAGATATTCTTCTCTCTGTCAGATAATATTTGCTAGTGCACACATTCTGTGACTTTGGGATGTTGTTTCAGATTCCAAGTCACATCACTCCATGTCGCGATTTGTTGTTGAAATTTCGACGGCAACAAATATTGAAAAAGTCCTGGAGTCGCTTGAAATACATTCGCAAATCTACTTTCATTGGAAACAGCCTCATCTACGGTCATACGTGCAGTAATCGAATAATTGAAACAAATGTAAAAACAAAGCAAGTAAAAAGACTACATAAATACCCTGCAGCACTCTACAATTGTTCATATAACGACAGTTCAAAGTAAAGCGTTATTTGAGGAGTGATCCAAAAACTTGTCCCATTCGAAGTGTTTTCAATAGCGTTCATAGCTGAGACAAAATACGTCGCCGTACCACACATCATAAAAGTATCTTAAAAATCGCGGTCTCCAAGTTGACCACAACATAACAAGAAGACAAACGGACAGCTAAACTTAGATCAGAATCACTTCTTGAATCAATCGGTATAGCAAGATTTGAGTCTATCACAAGTCCTTCCGAATGTTGTATACATTCCCTAGCACGACAAGTTGTGTAGGGTGTTTTCAAAGAAAATATTATATTCAAATTGCTTTCCTCGATAATTGATGATCTGCAGAAGAATAATGTTAAACTTGAGAATTTATTTAAAGCAACTAAGCGATCAAAAAGGCAGCTGCAACAGGATGACCATACTCTCCGACGGATTGTTGACAAAAGTTCATCTCAAAGTGGTTATAGTTTTCATGCTTATAATTTTTCTATATTCTAAACATGTTTTTTTTAGTAAACAATCACTTAGGGGATGTTCCTTATTCATGGGTTTATTCATAGTGATGGGAGAAGAAAGAGGTGAGAAAAGCGAAAGAGATAGATATGTGACGGTCAACCTTACCGACTAATGTAATATAACTGTAACCATGTATGGTCAAACCACATTGAGGCTTAAATCGGGGACTGCCAACTTAGTGATCGCGTCTCGTATCTAATCAGCCCTGAGGCAGCCTATGTGAGCAATCCGCACCTAAATTCTATGTCTTTAATTATTCTAAACTTCTGAGACTTTACGCATCTATTTCTTGATACTAATGGTTTTGAATTAAACGTCAATTCCCCAGAAGCCTGAATAGGTTCTAAGCGCCTAACAATTATTTCTTTCCTTCTCTCTTCTTATTATATTAATAAAAACAACCGTCTTCTTTTCCTTCTGTGCTTGCATGTGAATATCTGTATACGTGTGTGTCTAATTTCTTCAGAATATTATGCAAAACAATATAACATCCTTGCGTATCATGTTTGTAATGAGTTTTATAATTAGTTTTTTTTTTTTTTTTTATTATAGTTTTTCGCTTCGAAATGCACGCCTGCCCTAAAAAATTGTGTTCTACTTTCTACTCCGTCAAGCAACTAAAATGTTCTTTATTCATCTTTAGCTTTTGTTTGCGTCTATTTGTTTTTTCCGCCTATCTCTTGTGGTTTCTGCGATATTCCAAGTACCCCTGAGACGTTTCACTTAAGCCGTTTAGCTTATAAGCCTTAGGAAATGCTTTCTCTCTCTCTCTCTACATTCCACACCACAGTAGTTTTTTCTTGATTTCTCTTTCTCTTTTCTTTTTTTATTAGAGTTTCTCTAAATCTTCTTATTGAAGATCCGTTTTTCCTTCATGCTTATACCCCACATCACTTGTGGTACAGGGCATATTAAATTAATGCGGATGTATGTAACATGCAGATGGACTTAAGATAGACTTACCTTTTATTATACCGATCGGTTCAGAATCACTTTTTGACTTCAACTTGTGTCTCCTTTTTGTCCGTCTGTCCGCCTTGATTTCTTAAGCTCAATCTTCAGGTCGTAATTTTCACGATAATTTGATGAAATTCGGTACGCCGACCTACTTTGGCCCAAGGGTGGTACGAGACGAGTCACTTTGTCGCCCAATTGCCGTATTACGCCTTATTTTAAATTTCGTTATATGAATAACTGTAGGATATGTAGGGTTGTATGATGTTGGGATCTTTAATGGTAGGTCGTGGGCCATTGCTGTGCTTGTACTTCTTTTCAGTATTCATAGAATATTTTTACATCCTGCACTACTTGTGTGTCGGTTTGCTTGAACGTGCGCGACACCCGGAAGGACTTGAGGTAGATTCACTTTTTAGTATACCGATGGATTCAGAATCAATTCTTGAATTGTTCTAAGCTTACCTGTCCGTCTGTTTGCCTTTTTCTCTTGTGTTCAACCTACCGGTCGCCATTCTTGAAAAATTTTGATGAAATTTGGTACACTGATGTCTTTTGAAAATAGTTCAGATAGGAGCAAATTTTCAACCATCCCCCATACAACGCCTTACTTTGGAAAGTCGTTATTTGAATAACTGTGTGTTGGTGTAAGATATTTCATGGTGTTTTAGGACAACTTAATTTACATCATACATGCGGAATGTAGTGAATTTAATGGTCAGCCGTGGCCTACTATAGTATTTTCACTTATTTTTACTGACACGACTGAGGTGTTTTCAAACAGAGCCTACCATGAAATTTATTGCGTTCATTTGCCGTTTGCAAAAAATAAGCGGCTTTAGGCTCCAGCCTAGCCCAGAAACTAGGATCGTTCTGCTCATGTATCTGTTGTCTATGCAATTCAAGGCTAGCAGCTACAAGTTTTTCTTACTTTTAGGTTACTTTATTCCTCTCATTCCCTCCCTCTCGCTTTGACTGAAGCTCCCTCGCTGCTCTCCCCCTCGGCCGACCCGCTACTCTCCTTCTCTGTCGTTACTTCTTTCTTAGTTGGTATTTATTGTTATTTTATAAAATGCATTATATGTCCTTTGATTAAGCAGGTAAGCAATCAAGTAAACCGTTTTAACTGAAATTCGTGCTTATAGCTGCATAGAACAGTTGCATCTGGAATGTACTCTTATCCTATTGAATTTTCTTAGAGCAAGTATTTATTGACAATCGTTTGTTTCGCTCTCATGAAATGAAAAGAAAACTCACTATCAGCGATAAATTGCCGCCAAGTGCAAAAGCACATATCGCCATGTTGATTCGTTTTGTTGTTTCGTTTTTACTCCCCTATGATATATGAAACGATTTTCTTCCCCACACATAAATACATAATATATCGTTTGCTTTCACCAGTCATATCACATTTAATTTAGATAAAGTTGTTACAAGCAATACTTACTACCTACCACCATCGCTATCTTCTTTACCACATCGTAGATGCATAAGCGAGAAAAAGCTTTCAATTATGCCTAAATCTACTCCCATTGAAAGAACGATATCTCAAAATGGATTTGGAATTAAATCAAACTCATTCTCAGCATCTTAGAAGAGATAAAAAAAGAAAAAAAAAACAAAAACAAAAAATCCCTTGCTGTGATAACATCTTTTAACGGTTTGTATTGCATTTGATTTTCTCTTTACTTTTGATTTCAGAGAGACTATGAGCGCATGAAAACAAAATAAGAAAAAAAAAAAAAAAAAAACGGAGAGAAAAATTTAAAACCAAAAAAAATTTCCAAAATTTAATTTTAAAGAAAATTGAAAAACAAAAACCAAAAAACCGAAATCCCCGATAAATCGAGAAAAGAAAAAAAACAGAAAAATTTAAATCAATGATTGAAAATTTGCAAAATTTTAAACAAACAAAATTTGACCAGAAAAAGAACATCAACAACAACATCAACAACAACAAAAACTTAAAAATTGAAATTCCAATTTAAATGCAAAAGACATTCGTATGTGTGTGGTGGTGGCTAAAAAATTTCAAACAAAATTTATTATTCGAAAACGGAAAAAACGTAAACGTCTTTATTTCGAAACGGAAGGCAAAAAGAAGAAGAAATTTTTTTAAACTAAACGGCAACAACAACAACAGCAACAATAACAACAACAGTAACAACAACAACAACAACAAATTTGATATTGTGAATCAAAATTTTACAGTTTGGCGATATTAAAATTTCAATATATTCCGGTAATTATGATGAACACCAAGAACAAACAACCACAACAACAATAATAGCAAAAACAAGAATAACAATAAAGGACAACAGCAACAACAAGAATAAGATTAACGCCAACCAAACAACATGTTAAAGCCTCTCTAACTGCATACCAGTAGAAAGGATTTTTATTGCACAAAGGATAAAACAAGACACACTCACTCACGCACACATACGCACACACGCGCACGTACTCGTACGTATATGCATATATATCCGTAGGCGAAGATTTTCTTAAAATCGAGTCAAAAGGAGAAATTTTTATAACTTAAACGTAACATGCATACACCGTAATGGAGAGATAGAGCAGAGCGTACGGTGTTTTGTATATTTTCATTCAAAAACTTAAGTCAAAAGCTGCCAAAAAAACTTGTAAAACGAGAGTAAACGAGAAGGCTACGAGAAGGTCCTCATTGTCTCGAAGTTGAAGAGAAATCACTAAAAAAAATTACGGCGAATTTAGGAAAGAAAAACGAAACAAAAAAATTCAACCCTCAAACCTAAAACACACCAACAAACGACCAATAATTCAACCCAACCCACAATACATTCAAAAAAAAAAAAACAACAACGACACCAACTATTGCATCTACATCTGCTCAGAGTTCTTAAACACTCACGCAAGCAGGGTGTCTCCATTATAATAACAACAGCATTATACCCGCAACAGCAACAACAACAACAACAACAACGTTATTTATGAGACACTAACTAAGGTAAAGAGAAGAGTGTTGAGAAGAAGAAAAAAAACAAGAAGAGCAAGAGGCAGATGAAGTAGTAACGTGTAGAAAATTGCTCAAAAGTGGTAGTGAGTAGAGAATATATATCAATATATATATATATATACCCAACACAATATCGTATCAACGTATGTGTATGTGCGTATTGAGTGTCAAACAAAGTAAGCGAAAAATTTGCGGAGAGTGTAAGAGTGTCTGTCGGTCGATGCAAGCAAATCTGTGGAGATTGTAAGAGTAATAAATATTCATTTCTTTTTTGCGTTTGTATGAAATCTGCACTTATGCGACGGCGACGGCTTATCTAACTTATTCAAAATACGTGGCGAGCGAATAGGCAAAGAATATATATATATATATATATAAATATATATGTATATATATGTATATATATGTTAACAATCATACTTATGCATACAAGGTAATAAAGCAACCCGTATATATATTAGGTTATTCCATTTGCCCAACAACGTACAAAACTGACTATATTGAGTACAAACGGTAGACGCAGATGTGCATGTGTGGGCAGCGTTAAAGCGAATCCGTTTCATTTTACTCTAAGTCGAATAGGAGAAAGGGCGGCGAAGTCTGGCTAAATAGTCTGACTGACTAAGTAAGAGCTAAGTATTAAGGGGAGAATTAATTAATTTCCCGTTAAATCTTTTATAATCGCCAACGGTAATTACAATCGAAAGGTCGTAAGCGTTTTAATAGCCACGAACAGCTGTGATTTTCATTCAATTGGTGGCATCTTATGATGTCATCAGAAGAGGACACAGACTGTTACGGATTGTTTACTGATGACGATAAGTCTCTACTTAAGCCATTATTATCAAAGAATCCGGCGAATAGTTCAGCACTTCAGTCATCTCAATCTCTTAAAACGGATTCGGAAATACAGCATACCAGACCTCAAATAAATAACAACGATCAACAGCAAATACAGAAACAGCAGCAGCAACAACAACAACAACAACAACGACAACAAGAGAAAGAAGGCGAAAATTCAAGCGATTATAAAAAAGTAGAGAAAAATTCAAGCATTCACGACGTAAACGAGAACCACCACAATAATAATAATAAAAATCATCACGACGACGACGACGAAAACGCCGGAGACGACGACGACGAAGTTCAATTTCTCATCGGCCCAAGCAATAACAATAATACAATTTCTCATAACATAAGTTGTGGTAGTTTACAGACTTCGAGTAATATTAGTAAACAACAAGTCGTAACAGACGACGAACGTGCTACAGAAAGTAGTCAGTGTGGTGCTGTCAACAAGACAACAACGTCGTCGTCGTGTGCCTCCTCGAAATATATTAATAATAATAATAATAATAGTAATAACAATATTAAGACAAACATCGCGTGTTCGTCCTTAAAAATCTCGCCATCATCAACTCGTTTGTCTTCAAATAGTCCGCGTAATGTGCAAAAAACAGAGAAACTGTTAAATCAAAATCATAGTGATTATTTAACAACAACAGCAACAACAATAATAACAACAACACCAACAACAGCAACAACAATAACATTCCCCGAGGAGGAATTACAAAAAAGTGATACAGTTATAGATTTATTTAACTCTATACCGCAAACGACAACATTTATTAATCAAACGACTAATAATAGTCCAGCATCGGTACCATCGCCACCCTTGCTAACGCCGTCAACAGCTGCTGCCTTAATGAGTAGTGCTGCTGCGGCTGCCGCGGGTGCCGCTGGAGGAACTCTCTATGGAGCCTTATTAAATCAAAGTGCTGCTAACTCCGCGCAATCGTCTTCACAATCGAAAACAAATAATATCGGTAACCATCAACAATCACCGACCGGAACCGGTTCGGCGTCGTCTTCACCCACTGCTTCGCTATTAACCGGTCAGTTCACAGCCGCATTAGGTAATCTATTTAGCGCCAACGGTTTTAGTTCGGCGAAAATGTTAAACGAGCTCTTCGGGCGGCAAATGAAACAAGCACAAGATGCTACCAGTGGTCTTCCAACCACACTCGACAATGCCATGTTGGCCGCGGCCATGGAATCGGCAACAAACGCCGATCTCCTTAGTGCAGCTGGTTTAGTTAATAGCTTAGGCTTGAATGCCACTAATAAATTGCTTAACAATAATACGATAACTAATCATAATGCTGAGCATCAGCAATCAACGCAATCGTCTCCGAAAAATCGTCGCACCAGCAATTGCAGTGAACGTTCGGTGGACGATAATGGTTCTAGGACGGGTGATCTGACGACGACGCCGCCAAGGACTCCATCAGTCGGAGTTAATTCGACGTCTGGAGTTACCCCGAGCTCGCCCAACCTGCAGCAACAACAAAATGACTTGGCTCATCATATGCTACGCAATATTTTGCAAGGCAAAAAGGAACTTTTGCAGTTGGATCAAGAATTACGCTCGGTTATAAATCAACAGCAGCAGCAGCAGCAGCAGCAACAGCTGAAAGATTCTGCTCAAGATTCTTTAAAACATAATAATAATAATACCAACGCAGCCAATAATAATAACAACAATAATAATAATAATGTGACAAGTGACAACAAAAATGATAACAACCCGAATGTGATAAATCTTATTGATGACACGATGTCTGATATTAAGATTAAAAGTGAACCAAATAGCACCAACATGGATATATTAAATGGTGAACGTCGCAAGTCACAAGATTCGGAAGTAAATGGCTCCCAACACGAAGAAGAACAACGCTCTGAAACTGATCAATTAGATCAGCAGGATAACGAAGCACAAGATTCAGAGCGTTTGGATTTACCTGCTGCTGTTACGAAAAAAGAAGCTGAAGATATTTTAGAAGATGTTGAGCTTATGGGTCTAAATTCTCGTTCAGATCTTGAGTCCTTAGCATCACCGAGTCATTCGGATATGATGTTACTTGATAATAGTAAAGATGGCTTAGAAGATGATTTAGATAAAGAAAGTATTAGTACCGTTAGTAAAAAGCCAGATATGAAAAGAGCTCGGGTTGAAAACATTGTTTCAAGTATGCGTTCAAGCCCTTCGTCAAATTTACCCCATATGCAGGTAAACGGGTGCAAGAAACGTAAACTCTATCAACCACAACAACACGCTATGGAGAGATATGTGGCTGCCGCAGCTGGTCTTAATTTTGGTCTTAATTTACAAAGCATTATATTGAACGATGACGGTGATTCCGATGACATTGAATCGCCTCAATTGCAGCAGAAGCGTGATGAGAAAAATGCTCTTAAATCACAGTTACGTTCAATGCAAGAACAATTGGCCGAAATGCAACAGAAATATGTGCAATTATGCTCTCGCATGGAACAGGAGAGCGAGTGTCAAGAAATCGACGATACTGGCAGTGATAGTATGGAACAAGACGATAACGGTGCTGAATTATCACCATCACCATCTTTAACGGGTGAATCTGGTATACAGGAGAAAACGTCACAGGATTCTGAAAGAATTAACTTAACTTCTCCTAACATACCCACATTGAAAAATGGCAAACATGTTAATAACCAAAATGCAGGGATGAATTTAGAAAATGCTCCCAATATGCTTTCACAAATGATGAGCAAAATGATGTCGGCGAGTAAATTGCATAATCCTTTGGTAGCCCATCCGCATATGCAGCAATCGTTTAATGGCCCTCTACCTCTGCTACAGCACATGCCACAGTTACAAACTGGAGACGGTGCTCTAACCCACCCCGCTATTAGTAATGCAGCTGCAATGTACTTGGGCCAACAATTTTTTTTCGAGCAGGAGGCTCGAATGGCAAAAGAAGCTGCTGAGCAACAAGAACGTCAGCAGCAACAGCAACAACAATTGCAGCAACAGCAACAACAAGCGCAACAAGAACAACAAGAGCAGCAACGACGTTTCGAACAAGAGCAGCAACAACGCCGCAAGGAAGAACAACAACAACAACAACAGCAGCAGCAGCAAGCTCAACAGGCCCAACAGCAAGCTCAACAGCAAATGCAAAGGCAGCAACAGCAATTGCAACAGCTGCAACAGCAACAACAGCAACAGCAGCAACAACAACAGCAAATGGAGCAACAGGTAAATAATATGCCCGTATTGCAAGCTCCTTCAAGACCTCAGCTGCATCATAATCGTATGCAAAGGCATAATAACAACGCTTTAAAAACTGAGCTTTCAGAGAAATTTAATATGTTGCGATCAAGCTCAAGTTCTATAATGCGCATGTCAGGCGCTGATCTTGAAGGTCTAGCCGATGTTCTCAAATCCGAGATAACGACATCATTGTCAGCTCTAGTCGACACGATTGTAACACGTTTCGTGCATCAACGTCGACTGTTCAGTAAACAATCTGAATCAGTAGCTGCTGCGGCCGAACAACTCAATAAAGACTTACTTTTGGCCTCGCAGATTCTGGATCGCAAATCGCCACGCACCAAAGTGGCCGATCGATCCAATAACAATAACAGCAGCAATAATAATAATACAAATAACACAGCTTCCGCCCAATCTGCCCAAGTTGGTGTTGCAGTCAATCAAGCAGGTAATAATGGTTCTCTACTCCTAGTTAATACTAATAGTAACAATGCAACGACTAACCTTAATAATCCAAATCAAAATATGTCCAATAGTACCCAGTTGGGTCACTTACAGGCGACTGTAAGTAACGGTCCCCAAATGCACACGGGCGGGGTAACCGTCAATGTGCCTCAACATCCGCTAAATAGCCAAACAAATAATCAGGTAAATAGTACGCCAAATATGGCTGCGACGTTAAATGTCCAAAATTGTCAAAACCTTATAGCTGCACCACGCCTCAACGGCAGCCAACTATCATTTCCCTCGCCAGCGGCAGCAGCAGCTGCAGCGATGGGCCTGCAAATGCATCATGCTGCTGCGGCTGCGGCTATGTCTGCAGCCGCCGCAGCATCTAGCCAACAAAATCTTAACCAACATCATCAGAACAATGTTGTTGATGTTGGCGGTAATGCACCCTCAAATATAAACGCAATGACAAATGCGAATAGCACAAACCTAAATAGCACAAATGCCAATACTAACAACAACAATAGCTTAAGTACAATTAATATACCACCACCTCATATACGCCCTTCGCCCACAGCGGCAGCAATGTTTCAGGCACCTAAAACACCGCAGGGGATGAATCCAGTGGCAGCTGCTGCTTTATACAATTCAATGGCAGTTGGAGGTCCCAATCAGTTGAATCCATTTTGTATGCCTGAACCTCGAGATCAAAAACCGTTGCAACAACAACAGCAACAGCAACTAGAACAAAATGAAGCTTTGAGTCTGGTGGTAACACCTAAAAAAAAGCGTCACAAGGTAACGGATACTCGGATTACACCACGCACGGTGAGCCGTATATTGGCTCAAGATGGCATGGTGCCACCGAATACGGCAGGAGCAGTTGGTCCCACCGGACTGGCTCCTAATGGTCAACAAATGCAAACCAACCAAAATCAAGTGCTTTGCAATAATAATAACAACAACAATAATAATATGAGTAACGGCAATAATGCCATGAACCCCGCCGCCCTTAGCAATAACATGAATACCATTAATAGCATGAATAACATGAATAGCATGAGCAACAATAATTGCATTCCGCAAGTTAGCAATGGCAACAGTCAGAATGTGAATACAACACCCGCCCAGAGTCCGTCGCCGAGAAGTCAAGCGCCTGCCTTCCATCCGGCCCCGCAACCACCACCACCACCCATGTTGCCCGTATCGTTACCAACCTCGGTCGCCATACCAAATCCGTCGCTGCATGAATCGCAAGTCTTCTCACCCTATAGTCCATTTTTTAATCCACATCCAACGCATGCACCGCCGCCACCGCCTCCACCGCATGCTGGCAGCCATACCGGTCAACATGTCCCGCCTTCAGCCGCTCAAATGCATCACATGAAACTATCCGCCAGCCCGCCAGGTAGTCTAGGCAGCCTGATGGACACACGTGACGGTTCACCACCACTGCCTCCCCATCCGCCAGCTATGCTACATCCTGCTTTATTAGCGGCTGCCCATCACAGCAGTTCGCCCGATTACAGTGCTCACCTTCGAGCGGCCATTGATGCTCAGGATCGCAATTCGGATTGCAATTCGGCCGATATGCAATTCGATGGCATGCAACCGACCATATCGTTTTTGAAACAACAAATGATGTGAGTAATTAATTAACTTAAATTTTTGATTAAAAAACTAAATAAAAAATCTTAAGGAAAATGTAAAGAAGAAAAGAAGAAAAGGAAAAGTAAAAGAAAAAGCGTTAACCAGTCTATTGCTCACATATGATTTCCATTGTTATGTATGTCTGATGAAATGGGAAACCAATCAAGTGTCATTTTATGTTATGTTAATTTATTTTTTATATTGTTGTTGTTGAAATGTAATCAAAACCTTATTTCGCCCACAACCCTAATCGTTTACTTAAGTCCGGTATTAAGAATCTATTGTTAAAAGCAGACAAACGAATAGAAAAAAGAAAACACTATTTAAGATGGCATTAACTGCTCTCGAAGACTCGAAGCTTTTTGAAAATAATAGGAAATGAGGTAAATAAAATGCAGAGTATTGGTCATCCCCTCTAACTCGCTAATAACAAAAGAGCGAAATAAGAAAAACACCCTTTAAGGTGCATTTACTTTCTAAAGCAAGAATAACAGCAACAACAACAACAACCGCTACTGCATACGTAAAGCGTACGCTTGAATGAATGAAATCAATGCAATACAGGTGCGCGGGTTGAATACCCCCACTTCTAGCCCAATACTATATATACTACATACATACATATGTGTTTATATATATATATATATATATATATATGCAGTCAACCTTTAACTACTGAAAACTTATTCTTCTACTTCTTTACGTACTTCACCGATATGAGATTTATTTTTCTCTCGCAAATATTTTTCTTTAAATTACAATCACTTAATACAAATTTGTGTTTGTTTTCCGTTATTCTCTTTTACTTTTACGCTCTCTTTTTACATATATATATATATATATATTGTGGCTCCTGTTTTATAATTCATTATGGGAAATATAATCAATGAATTAAATGAAATCATTGTCGTCTCATCGACATAATCATCATCGTGTGAAAAAAACACATTAGAAAAAATAGCGATTCGTTAACCACGTCACATTCCTCAACATTAACACCGATGCATCTGAGAAAGGCGAAACTGATGTTCTTTTGGGTACGTTATCCCAGCTCATCTGTGTTAAAAATGTATTTCCCCGATATCAAATTCAATAAGAACAATACAGCACAATTGGTGAAATGGTTCTCAAATTTTCGGTAAGTACATCAACTAAAAGAACATGAAGAGTATCAACAATTTTTTTCGATAGAATACAAGAAAAAAAATTATAACGGGGCACGGCCCACCATTAAATGCCCTACATTATCTTACAAATATTCATATAATGTCTTTTCAAAATGCGACGATGTATGGAAAGTGGTCGAAAAAGTGGTCCGACCCGAACCATTGCGTATTTGAGCCAAAACATGTTAGTGCTTTAAATGTCACTAAAATATCTTAAAAATTACGTCGTACGAGATGAACACAAGCAAACGGGTTGGAAAGACGGACAGAAAAGTTTAGATCGATTCAGAAAGCGACCGTGAATCGATAAGTATAATAGAAGGTGATTCCATATCAAGCCCTTCTGCCCTGCTGCACATATCCGCACAAACTTAATGTATCCTAAATAAAGACGGATTGACAAGCGTGGATCAATTCAGAAAGCGACGTTAAATCGATCGGTATAACAAAAGGTGTATCCATTTCAAACCCTACTGTATGCTACAATCATTCGCACAAACTTAATGTATCATATGTAACATATGAAAACAAGACGTACACACAGACAGACAAACTTAAATCGATTAAGAACCTATCGGTATAATAAAGAGTGAATCTGCTGCAAACAACCGCGCAAAGTTCTACCTAAGTAAATAAAAGGTCTCCATCCAATATGTATATGCCTGGAGAATATAATCTTGCAAGAACGAAGGTATTACGTTTTTGTGTATGTGATTTATAGCAGGCTATCTTTTTATTATAACAATTGCTTTGATAAATAACACTAGTGATTTGACGTATTAACGGATTGCGCTTAGTTTTTGAACCACATTGATCTATTTTGCGATTTAACCCCTCCCACCATCCCCCTTCACCCCTTCGCACCATCGCCCAATAAAAACTTTTTCTTAAAAGATGAGCGTTTGTAAGGCAATAAGGTTTCATTTTTAATACCTAAGGGCTTTTTTTCTTACTGTTTATATATTGGCTCTATTTCAGGGATAGATTGTAATTCTAACTGTAAAATATAAGAAATCTAAAACGATGCAAAATAATCAATCTTCTGTGATAGCATTATGGCTTCATTCGGCGATCAACTTTACTGGAAGCTCTACCACACTTGTGATTTGAACCAACGGCCTTTGAGTTGTTAGTCGAGACAAAGCATATGATAAGACTTACGAAGGGTATGTTTAATATCGCGCTTCGATAATTCAATGGGCAAATAATGCCTACTACAACCATTACTGATTCAATGTCCATAGCAGGTAGTATTTAGCGACAAAGGAGACTATATATATATATATATGGCCCCTTAAAACACCTAGGCATTCACGTGTTTTCCCTAAAGTGGTAAGGTAGATCAATTTTAATAGAGAAATCCCTAGTAGTTCGATGAATAGAATAATAGTTAACCAAGTTTAAATTATCTCCGATTATAATACTTGAAGCAATGAAGATGCCGCCAGATAAAATTAACCTATTAAGGGATAAATTGTACTAATGCCATTTACTTGGCTAAGATAGTAATCGCTTTAGTGTCGACACTTTTTTGTACGACTCCTTGTGTGTAATATAATAAAAATCCTGATTATTTTTGTGGTATAATCATATCCCTAATAAAAATTTTTTTTGTCTCATCCATGAAGAATACTTTCGGAAGGTATCAAAAATTCCTCGCGAGCATGTTGGAAATAGCTTTTTATTTAAATCATTTGAAAGTATACTGATAGATAAGAAAAACGAAGAATATGCACACAACGAATTGTTCATAGATGTCTTAAAGAGCAGAAAAATTTGAAATTTAACGGCTGCACTTGTTGAAAGAAAACTCATTGGTTCTTACTTGCTTCCCGCGAACGGGCCCTCTCTTCCAGGCCCAGTTTACACGACAATCCCATATCACGTAGAGATTCTATACAAAGACTGGACTACCAGATATGAGAATTTGCCCAAACTCCCCCCGCTGGATAAGGGAAATTCTATTTCACGCTTTTAATTATTTAAAGCCCTCTTGACATTCGGTTTAGGGTAACCACAACCAACACAGTACCTCCTTCGAGTCGAATTCCGAGCCGTAAACGCTTAAAAATACCTTATGAGAACGTACAGCTTATCAAGGTGGACATTCTAACACCCGTGTTTCCCAGTTCAGATTCCAATGCTTTTGGTTTGTCATTCAGCCAACCATTCAGATGCAGTATAACTTCTTTGGCCCCCTCAAAAACATCACAGATCTGTGTTAAATATAAAAAACCTTTAAACAGACGATTTCCGATTGTCTCGATGACTTCTCAATGGAGAATTCTCAACGCCGAAATGCCATGTCTCCATGGTTTAACGTCTGCCCTTGTGAAGTCCATAAGCCTCCCGGGTAATTAACAAACGATTTGCAGTACTTCCCAGCTTGCAAGTGAGAGGATCTATTCCAAGATTGAGGCATCAGATATGGAAGTTTGGGTATGGTCTTACAGATTGAACTTTTCCTAATGCGGGTCCCATCATCAACAAAAACCCTCGTATCTTCCATCACCGATATACAAAAAAATATTGATTTAGGAATAAGCGCGGCACGCGGTGAATTTTAAATCCAAAAAAAAAAAAAAAACTTAAAAAACTATTAAGAAAATTTTGATAAAACAAGAAGGAACCATTTGCCAAATTTATCGACTTTTAAAATTATCAGCTCATAAGTGAAACTTCTATGTCAGTATAAAAAGCAGAAGAAAACCTTTACCTGAAAATGCATAAAAAAAAACCCGCATTTTATTCATATTAGCTATAGAGCTCTACAGTTGACATACATATTCATAGTAGCAACAACAACAACAATAATAATAAGAACAACATAGCAAATATGGTTAGCAAGCATGCAGGGGAAACCCAAATTTTAGACGTAAACAAGACATTGCACAAAGGTATGATGAGATATGAAAGAAACCTTCATACGCGAACAAATGTACGAATGCGTGTTAATGGAAAGTGAAAAATATCGACTACTCTATAGGTTGGGCTCTTAGTAACTTTTGTTTACCTACCAGCAAAAAAAAAAAATTTTTCTTCTTTCGCTGATATAGAAAACGCGCCAAAAAGAAAAAACAGCTGTTTCACTTTTACTCTATGGTTTGCCTTCTTTAGCGTTGAACGTGTGCCAAGTTGCAATATTTCCGTTTGCTTTTTGATTTCTTCTTAAAGAAATAATCACCTGGTCCCGAGATTTAGTTTCGTTAACTAACCCTTAGCGCAATGAAAACCATCTGCTGGCACAATGAACCCTTAGCAAAAGTCTTAAGATCCGTTTCTTATGAAATGCAAGTAACAGCAACAGCAACAACAACAATTGTAATAAGAAATGTAAAAATCAAGATAAGCACCTTTTTTTTTTTCTTTTTTCACGTTGTCTCGATTTCTTAAAGAAATTCCTTTTCTTCATTTGTGTTTTGTGATTTAATGCGCAAGTCGTTTCGTTGCAAAATTTCAAAAAAGAAAAAAAAAAAAAAAAGAAAAGAAGAAAAGCAATAAGAACAAACAACGAGAGCAGCAAACGACAAAACTCTAGAGTAAGTGGTGATACAACTTTTCTTAAGACGTTCTCTAAACGTTACTTACGCATTTCTTTAAGGGTTGTATGTTCGTGTTCTAACGAAATTCATCATTTACTTGCTTTGCTTGTGTGTATGGGAATTTTTCTTTAGATTTTTTTTTTCTTTTATTTACTTTTTCTGTTTTTTTTTTTCTTTTTTTTTCACTCCCGTATAGTTTTAGCTAAGAGGGTTAGTTTTTATTCATGTTTGTGCGGTTTATGCCCTATTGTCCTTAAATAAAATGGGTGGGAATTTATATTTGGTGGCCTTTCCCCTAATGCTTATTCAAGTCTTTCATTCATGGCCTTTATTCAAGCATCGACTTCTCGTGAATAGTTTAATGAAACTTATGATTATTATTTTTATTTTGATAAAGTTAACCGTTTTCCGGTGTGAAAAAAGGTTACTCATATCAAAGAACAACAACAATAACAAAAAAAAAAAAAATAACGGGCGCTTGAGTAGATATTGAAAGTCAAGCAAACAAGTACAAGTACAATGAGTAAATAATTTTTAAAAAAAATTTTTTTTTTAATATTACAACTAATCTTTAAACTGAAAATTGCAAAGTATTTTATCAATTGTGGGCGGGGATTCGAGTCATTTCCTTTAGATAATTTTGACAAGTGTTGAAGTCATATTCTACACATTATGCTGTGTTTCAATTTTGTCTTTTAATCAGCCACTGAGGAGTTCTACTAGCACAGTTTTTTTGACTACACAAGCTTTCCAACAACATATGGGCGATTGGACCGTGTACTATATTATTACGTAGGCAATCCATACAAAGACTTGAAAAAGCTTTCGTTCTCAAAATATATCAATATGCTTAAGAGTATTTATGTGATCTTTACTTCTGTTTGCTTGTACAAATGAAAGCATGAAAGCGATCTAACTCTTAAAGTTTATTGGTAGAGCTTGCCCCACCATTTGTCCGTGTGTCCCTCTCGCTTTCAAACCTATAAGTCGCAATTTTTGAGTTACTTTGATGAAGCTTGGTACGTCCACGTGTTTTTTTCCTGCTATTGTAAATAGTCCGGGGCGGGGGGGGCCCTTCCTCTCGACCACATCCCATATAACGTCTTATTCAAAAAGTAAGAAAAAATTTATTTTTTGATTCCAGTTCTGCATAAATTTTAGTTCAGTTCATAGCTTGTAAAGATATAATCGACTATGATAGTGCGGTTACTATTCTGAAATGAATCTCTATTCGAGAATTTATCCTCGATTGAATTCTTTCTACCCAAAATATGAGATTCCCTCTTGATTATGGAACTGTGGAACAATCTACCAATAATTTCTCTTTAGTGGTAACTGTTAAGTAAGAAAATTATATTTGACCGATGTCGAGTATTTTATACTCACTCAAGGCATAGCCGATTCTTTCCATTTTCGTACAGTTTGCACAG